CTCGCAATCCAGAATGACTGCGGCCTTCATATACAGTCCAATATGAACATAAAGTGAGTTGAGATGGTTTCTTCAAATATAATATATCTCCTTACCATGAATGACTCACCGCTTCGCCTTCATAGAAATGTTTCGAATAATTTACGAAGAGTATTTGAAATATAGCATTACATTAAACACTAGAATGCTTGAGCGTAATCAATATATTCTTGCCCAAAGAAAAAGATATATAGTATGCACGAAAGTTAATTTAGTATCGCATAGAAAGCGCAAACACACCGTTTTCTTTTTTAAAAATTGCTAGGTTTTTAATTTCTAGAAGAGACGCTTTTTATTTTCCCACAATTGCATTTTCTAGATTGAAGCATTTTTTTTTTATTTAAAATATGGACTTTGCTCTTTTACAAAAATACGAGCATGTCTGTTGAGCTGGAACAGATAATTTTATCTGCAGAACCTTGCCGGATACTGAAGAGTATCGGGAGTAAAAAAACAGCACAGTTGCAATCGCATGCTAGGCCTAACGCGCCTTTATGGACATCTGATAAGATATTCATCATTTTTCAATTTTTACTTCAGTCGAGTACTGTTTCCTTCAGCTGATACACCTAAGCACTCCGAAGTAGATAAACACAAACTCATAGGTGTAAGCCACTTAATTATGTATATTTATTGCTGATTATCAATACTAATTTGATACAGTATTCACAGTTGCTCCAGAAGTAAGTGGTCTTTATAAGTAATATTATCTGAATTATTCAAGAAAGATTATGTGCCTGATCAATTAATTTAATAGCTCTTAGGAGGGGGCTGTCGACTGTTGACAGCTGTTCTTCTGGCACTTCGAATCTAAAATGAACCATCACCAAATACTCATGCCGCCTTAAATAGCTTCATCGGTTCGGAAAACAGACCGATACTTTAGACCTAACGTCATCGGATCAAAATAAGAATATACTAACGCAGTGGTTCTCAACCGTTGCTGTTTTGCGGACCCTTTGTGGATCGGCGCAGATGATAGAGGACCCGGTTCGTGACGGGAGGAAGTAAAAGGTATAGGTTAATTTTGATAATGATTTAATATTTGGATATAACTAAGGGCTAGGTGTGAAGTACACTTCTCTCATTGACACTCACACGAGAGATCTTGCCCGAAAATTGGAATGTTTCTTCTCAATCTGAGAAAAGGCAACTTTTACTACCGGGCTTGACTGATGAGGCAGGGCCTCGCGGACCCCTAATGCCTTCGCCGACCCCAAAGGGTCCGCCGAACCCCGTTTGACAACCACTGCACTAACGGAAGCATTGAATCAACAACTGGCACTAAGGAACCTTTTGCATATAAGGAAACCAGTCACGTGAGCTGGCGAGAATGAACCCCATTTTCAAAACATACATTTAATATATGAACAGGCATATAAATATTTAGTTTAGGAAAGCGCCATATCTCGGTCCTGAAACAACTAAAATATGTTTGTATAAATAAGACACTGTCCAGCGGGACATATTACAATTTTATCATGACAAGGAAGCCCTTAAATATACTACGGATATATTTTGAATCGACGACCTTCGAATATTCTTGTTCAGTGAGGACAAACTATGATAATACAACCGCTGATCACATTTTATTAGCTACAGTACGGCGACCTTTTTTCATCATTCGCTGGTTAGGTTAAAATAGAAACAAAACGTAAAAGTCCGAAGCATTTCTTCCAAAAAGCGTTGACACCTGTAGTGACAGTGTATATAACACGTAGATGAGTCATCGTGCAAATGTCCCTTCACCTTCTTTACACTCATATATCAAGCTCAAAATGTCTAGAACAAAGGCGTTACTTCGTAATTTAGCACGAGAGAACAGTGCAAATGCTAAAACGGTCTGACGTTCGGACGAAAAATGCAGAACAAATTAAAAACCAACCGGAATTTTCGCGATTATATAATGGTCCCCTTTTGGGGCATAAGCACTCACATACTCGTTGAGAGCACTACACAAGCAATGGGGTTGACTGAGATCACGCTGGTGTTGGGTGAGTTTTTTTTTTAATTACTTAGGCAACTAGCTCAGCCCTCTACTTTGCTAGAGGATCTGATGGCCTCTACTCTCAGGCATTATTTTTGTGTATATAACACTCAACTTATTGTATGCATTTATTTATTTATTTATTTAAGTTCAAGGCGCAGAGGGCGTTGCACAAGGTGTGAAAAGCAGATAATAAATACGCGAAATTGTCAGAATACAACAAAGGAACAGCGAATGTGAGTTAAAAGAGAAAAACAAAGGTGGGCAGGCGGTTTCATTCAGCGCTGGTTTTTGATATGGATGAGTGAAAAAACATGTTAAGGATAAAGGCACTAAGGAATATCTACTTTTTGGCGGTGATTTGTACGAGAGGGCGACTATGACGGCTTTAAAAAAAAGCTGCTTTTATTGACTGACTATAATGGTCAATTCTGTGAAATAGAGCTAGTTGTGTCACACTTCTATTTAGGAAAGTAGGTTTTGATTAATGACACAGTTAATAAGCATGCAGTTACAGATTGTCAAACACGCACTCCGATGTTCTACCGCTTATAATTCATTAGTAAGAAATTAGCTGCCTGGATCACGCACTGATGATCTGTATTTAAGATTAAAATAAAGGAGAATTTTAAAGAGTTGAGGATTGAAAGATGAAAACGCCATAACGAAGTTACGCCGTAAATATCGAGGCATCTGATTGGGGCTTTTAATTATAAAATTTACGTGTGTTTTGCACGAGGTGTACAGTTAAATTAATTGCTAGGCATTTATATGATGGAACCTCCTCTAGTAAAATATCTGCAATATTCTTCAACCGATAGCACTGAGTAGTCGGTGTCAAATTCGCATTAATTAACACTTATAATTAAGCGGCATTGTTTTGTTTAAATAAGATTGAATTAAGGAGGTATCAGCAATAGAGAACATAATACGAAAAATGACACGATGGGTGGCAAGCACCTTTATGAATGAAGTGATAGATTCAGGTAGATCATCCATGTCAATGAGAAATAACAGGGGGCCAACAACAGAGCCTTGCGGCAGACCAGGCTCAACCAGAGAAGTTGGGGATTCGAAGTCGTTAGCTGTTACGAATTGGGTTGTATCATATAGGAAATGCTGAATGCTCCCGATTATGTTGCAGTCGATGATTACTATGCTTTATGCAGATAGCTGTTATAAAAAAGAATGAACGCTAAGAAACTACGCAGTCGATGTATTGCCATTGTCCATAGCAGAAAAAGTTTACTGTGCAAATTTTTGCCTCGTACGAGTAACTTTTACGGAAACCTTGCTGACATGATGGAAATAATGAATTGCAATCACGAAAATTAACGAAAATATAATAAATAGTATGCTCGAATATTTTGCAAGAAAAACGGAATAATGAAGTTGGTCTGTAATTAAATGAAGACTGCTCATTACCTGATTAACCCGACACTTTCAATCAATATCAATCTCTGAGCTAGAAAGGAGGACTCCAGGCGCAGATTTTCAACCTATGCACGCGTAAATTGATTGTTTTAATAAAGATTAGACTTTTATTTATTTTATTGATAAGAATAAGAAAAATTTTATATCGTGCGTTTTAGACAAAAGCTCTAGCAAGTTTATGACAAAATGATATATCAAACTCAAAACATAGCCTCAGCACTGCACACGATTGTGGTAAATAAAAGTATAGGATTTTTAAGACCAAACCACGACGGCAGTACTGTTGAGACACAGGATGTTTTTTTATATTTTTTTCACTCTTGCCAATTTTGTTAACAGATTACAATCTATACCACGTGCTTTATTTATATTCGAGTGGAAGCTTTCTAGGAAAAACCTCGCTTAAAATATATGCTGAGAATGAATTCCCTTCCTTAGTTTTATAATACGTTTTGCCCAAAAGGCATATATTTGTAATGAATAAACTGAATGTAACAATTTCTTTTTTCACGGACAGCTTATGCATTCAAAATGTTTTAACGATAGAAGGGCTTTATTACAAATTTCTACTAATCCTTCAAAAGAATTGCGATATTCATTTTTCGTTCAGACCAACATGAAAAAAAAAATAATTTCGCAGTAGATTTTGAAGATATATTTCGTGAAAGACCATCAAATATAGCAGCCTACGCCTAGGGTCCTGCTTAGTCGCTACAAGAATGGTTGATTATATGTCGAGTCTCCTGGGTAAAAAAGACATCCACACAACTCTGCTTAGTGAAGTTATGCATTGTGTTTTTGACAAGTATAGATATTTTTTCAGTGCAGTTCCGCATGAAAAAAAAACCGTGTTCAAAAATGGTGTTTTTGCCATCTTTTTTATTTTAATTGAATGTCTAACCATAAATTAAAGTTCTGTAACCGCATTTCTGATCAAAACTATGTTTGAGATATAAACGTTATAACAATAGCCGTGAGCAGAGTTGCTGAGAACATGAATCAGCTTCGCAGTAACGGAGGCCTTAATATTAGACTGTAAGTTTATTTCTTAAGAACCGCTTCCATATATTGTTTTGGTGTCTTGGAGCCCCTGAATAAACTAACACTTCGTAATTCTTTTTGTTTGCTTAGTGTTACATTATTAGTTGCGATACACATACGCTGAAGACGAATATCTGTTAGATAAAAGCTTTGAGCGTGGCCTTACTTGAATTGAATTTTATTGCTTCATTGTCTGCAGTGTCTCTGGCCTTCGTCGCAACCGCTGCGGCCCACGATTGCCAAAACGGAACGAGACCCTCCTCGGTAACAATGTTTTCAGTACATATTTGAAAACATTTCGTGTGCGAAAGTATAAACAAAATCAACGCGTCTATGTAGGCCGCTTTTCTGTCAAAATGTTTTTGAGGTACTTGATGAATTTAAATGCGTCCGCAAACTATTATTTAATTTCGTATATCGTGCACACGATGCACCCTGTGTAAACATGATCTTGGGAATATTACTTTAAATTCATTCCTTCGGTTTATTATGTTTATAGGAAGAAAAGAGAGAAGGCTGCGACTATTACTGCTGGAACGCTGAGACCAAATCATGGGACAAATTTTTCTTCGGGAACGGAGAACGATGCTTTGTGAGTAGCAAATCTAATCTTGCTACCAGACATACGGGCTCCCGCGCATGCGAGTCATATGTTTTACATGTATGCTTTTCCCATACGCGGTGTAATTCCTTTCATTTTCAAACAAATTCACAGTAGCCTCTCTGCAATATGAAACACCAAGAGGTGTACACGCGGTTTTATTACTTTAGATCCTACACTGCCATGTTTATGCTGAAGGTTCTCCCTTTTTGTGTTATGATTCCCTCACAAGAATACAGCTCAAGATGGTATGCTACTACATTATTTATATGAAATTAATTCCTAGTCTAAACATCTATGCTCCATGATCTCGGATATGGGCGGTGACTCTTCAAAATCAAAAAACACACTTAAATTTTATATGCTCTAAACTTTGCCTTCTTCCCCTGAACCCAAAAAAGCTTATTGTACCTTGTCCTGTCCTAACATTGAAGTTGGTAACGACGCACAAAATATATTGGCACGTAATACTGTGACGTAGCGTGTAACTGATATCCATTAATATGATCTAACATGGTCCAGTAACGTCATGTGACGCTGCGGAATCATGTGACGTCACGTGACCTTTTTTATAGTACTCTCAGAAGCTAAATGTTCCCTTTAAATATAGAGAGAAATTTCTTCACATGACAGTACATTGTAAAATGAAAGTATAATTCCCTCCGTAGCCAAAGGAGCTTTTCATTGTATTTGTGCGGGTCATGATTCTTTACTATACCGTTCACTGGAGTTTCGAAAGCAAACTGTTTGCGGCTAATGAAGCTGATGTCTCCGATTAAAAAGTGAACAATATGAGTTGACCGCTTCGTTTGATTGCTGTGCATATGCCACATAACAGAAATTAGTTCAATAAATATGATCCAGAGTAGTTGGAATACAATAATGATTTCCCAGAGCTGAGCTGGTTGGTTATTCACGCTTGTGAGATTTGAGTAAAAGTGTATATTCCTTGTCTCTTTTTATATTTTGTATTTCTTCCTTCGTTTAGCTGAGAAATCTCACAAGGGGGTTATAGAATCCTTATATTACGAGGCAAGATTTTCTTTTGGGTTCTTTAACACGCAATCTTTTTTTTTTCAACCTCCACAGCACAATGTTACAAAGTTATATTTTATTATATTTTAATTAATTTCAGTATGAAATATTTCAAATATAAGTTTATGATAAACTTTGCGCGGAAAATGCAACGTCACGTGATGTCGCGTACATCAGATCCCGTGGAGATCTTCCGCTCTAAGTCTAGAGTAGGATTTGTTACGTTAAATGTAGCAGGTACATTTCACGGCAATATTCAGTGGTAGACTTAATAAATTATATGATATCATACTTTGAACTGTTCCGTTACCGCAAATTACACTCTAAAAAAAGGGTATCACCTTACACCCCTTTGTCATATATAATGCACCTCAAAACTTCAGTACGCTGTAGAGCGCCCTATAGTCCAACAGTCGGCCCCAAGTTGTGCGAGGGGATTGACAACGGTGGGATATAAATTTTTAAGTAGCTAGAGAACGTATCAAAGACCACACAAAGAAAACACTTAGTTTTTGCAGTAGGGCCGAGAAAACCCGGTTATTATTTTTTTTTTTGTATTCCGTAACACGCACATCAGCTATTTTAATAAGTTGTACAACTCGGCTATCGAGCCCCTCGTAATATATTGGGTGGTGTGTTCGACTGTAGGGAGTTGTACGTCGAATTGAAATTTCGAGGTGTATATATGGGACAAAGGGTGTAATAATACCCCCTTTTTTAGAGTGTACATCTCAGGAACATTTGAAATTTCAATAATCTTTTTTCTCTCTCTCATTTGCAGTACAACAATGGTGATGAGGGATTATGTCAAAACGGAGAATGCCATTTGACGACAGATTCAGGTGTGCCCAATGACACTGATGCAAAAAAAGAAGAAACCGAAGAAGAGTTAGAAGCCTGAGGGCAAGTCAAAGAAAATTAGGAAGGAAACTTCTTATTAAAATTCCCGAAACTAAACCAGGCTTAATAAAGCTAAAGCACTCACTGTTTGTACTGTGTACACGCTAATATTTTAACAACCATGTTCGTGTTAAAATGGTATTTTTTCCAGCTCACACCTTTGCTCCACCATTTTTACATGTTTTTGAACTTTCAAGGGTGTACAGAAAGGCCTACACCCTTCGTACATGTTTCTACACCCTGCGGGTACCGAAATCGTGTTAAAGGGCAACTGCGCTCAATTCCGAAAAATGTAGGCTCTCATGTGATTCCATTTCACAAAGCATTACTAAACAGATTTACGTCTTCGGATTCGCGAAATGTGGAATATTATTTGTGTATTCTTAACTGACCCCGTAAGTGATGACGTCACAACTTAGCGTCTGGGTCCAAACAAACCGTTGCTAGGGGCGTTGCTATGGACTAATGCATGGAGACTCCACACGAGGCTAGATTTTCGCTTATAAGTAAATAATTTTCTTAAGCAACCTTACTTCTTGATATCTAATTATGAAGATGTTCTTGTCATCTCAGCGTCGTATTGCAACGATGAAAGTCATTTCTGAAGTGCTCCACTCCGCTTTGCTTTGGTAGCAGACGATACGATAGGTTTGCTGGCCTCTGTTGCAGCGGGCGTCTTCATTGAATTGTGTCAGTAAACGAGCAACACAAGTAAGTCAATCGCCAAGGCCGCAGAGACCTCCGCAATGTGGGTTTTTGCTGTGTGAAGAACCCAGCTTTGTTCAGAGGGGCGAAAATTCCGTAAAATCAAACCACGTCATGCAGATCAGTTACAACGACGACCTGAAGTGCATTACCGGTGTTGTGCCGGCCAGAATGAGAAACAAATCGTACGCCGTCGAGATAAGTCGTCTGTTATTATTATTATTGAGGTTGTCAGGTTATTAAATTATTGCATGTCTATCGCAATTTCGCAATTTTGTTTTGTATACATTAAATTTAATGGATGTGCTCTTTCGGTGAAGATCTCTATCGAACCCGCGATGCGAGTACAATCTGTAATACACTCACCTTATGTTTTTTATCTAGTTCTTTCGCGTTTCGGGGTTTTCCGGAAATCTGAAGAAACTGCAAGAATCATTCTCCACGCGATGGTTACAATCAGGTACGAAGCACCCTCCGATAGCGCGTGTCCGCAAACAAAATTTGAGATCTCTACCGATCGCCTGAAGTGCTTTTCTCCCGGGTGCATTGCGATATTTTTGCAGACGATCATCTCGCTCGACGCCCGGACTTTCGATAAACCATATTTTGCATCGCACCCAACTATAAATTCTTATAAGTGTCTGAAAAAAAAAAAAAAGCATTATCAGAATATCGTGTTTATTCACCCGCTTCAGACGCCGGCGCCGGCTTGGCCGGCCGGCGTGTGGCTGACGGCATTCTTCTTGCATTCGTCGTCTGCTGCAGGCATCTTGAGGACCGGAAGTTGCAGTCGTAAATATTTCAGAAACAAGCGATTACCGGCACACTTCTGTCGCAACATATATGACATCCAAGCTTTCTATATCTGTGAATTTTAAAAGTTTAAACCCTACCCCTGATTTTTGAACGGTCGGGTTTTCGTAGCGAAACCTAGCAACATGTATTTGTCCATAACAACGACCCTAGCAACGGTTTGTTTCGACCACGGTTTGGATTCTGACGTCACACTTACGGAGTCAATTTAAACATCAGCTGATGCTGAAAGCGAAATTTCGGTTGCGTCAGGCAACAATGGTCTCGTGTCGTCACAGTCATGGGGACGTCACGTCGACCCACGTGGTCTTGTGACGTTTGTGGGGGCGAGGTACACGACATGAGACGCGGACAGGTCGCTTCGGATGGCGTGGACGGTGATGGCTCGGGGGAGATTGGGAAGGGGACAAGTTGAAAGAGGAGAGAGGGAGCAGAAAAATAGACCGATAAGCCAACACCTCATAGAATTCAGGCCGTAGCGCTCCGAGTGGGCCCGTCACAATGGCGGAGGAAGGAAGGTCATGGCGCAACTACGTGAGAAAATGCGCTGTCGACGCGTATCGGCGCAGTCGGCACATTAATGTTCGTGCGCGTTTATCCGAAATTAATACACGTTTTAAAAGCGCTGTCTTCTACAATTTATTATATATATATAATATAAACGTAATATGCAACGCGCTATTAATGTTGAAATTACCAAATTTATATTTTTTATTATCCCCGTAACCGCGGTACTGCGCGCAGTCCCGCAGCTACCCCCCACTTTTCGAATGAACCGGCTCAGAATTTCCAATCCGACATATTCTTCCCTCGAACGGGCTCTGGTTCTGGTAAATTTACGTTGCGTGTGAGCTGCTGACTGTCTGCAAAGGTACGCTGGGACATTTCAGAAGGAAAAGGAACCGAAAAAAGATCCATTCATCGCCGCAGGGAGGGAGCGCACACGAGTAAGAGATGGGTCGACAATGTTAAGCCTCTCGTCCCACACTGCTGATGCTGCTCTCGCGCGTGTGTGTGTGTGTGTGGTTCTGTTGATCCTTCTACCCGTCGTCTTTTTGTCGTCACCGCAGACTCGAGTAGTTTTTTCTTTGTGTTCACTTGATACTTCGGCATTTACGTGGATTCGCGAAACAAGTCCTGCTACGGTTTGAGCGACGTGTCTGGCAACTAATCAACGATGACACTGGCCGATGACCTCTCTCTCAACGGAAAGACCTCTAGAAGCTAGTGTTCAAATGTTTTCGTGATGGATCGTTTGGGACATATGGATACGATCGACAGGTGAGGAACAACTTATTTATCGGCTTTCTTGGTCATGTAAGACGCAAGGAAAGTGCTGCAGTCGATTTTTTTTTTTAATCTCGTGATAGAATGGAATTTTGTTCTTCGTCGTTATTCGTTTGCTATTTTGTCGACATTTGTAAATATGTGTGGTGATATTCTAGTTTTACTGGAAGGTAAGTAACAAGTTTGTGTGACTATTGAAAGTGCGTTTTTTGTGCTTACGTGTTTATTTATACTATAGTTATTTTGTTGCCTTTACCGTATTTATACTAGAATCTCAACTGTATTAAGGTAATTGTATTATTGTATACAAAATAGGTTATATTTTGTTCGTAGACAGCTCGAGCCCACAGGGAGAAGTAAATTAGTTGACTGTAAATAGTAAGTTTAGTACCCCTGCCACACGCAAAGTTAATACATTTTGATTAAATAATACGGGATTTTATCAGCTCGCTCTTTTGAGTGGTTATATGAGTGTCGCAAGCTGATTTGTTGGCCCCATATTGTCATTTGATCGAAATTGCATTAATTTTAATTCAGTGACTGCACGCGATAACATCGCTTACATGGTCGTGACACTCGTCGAGCCGTGACCGCGTTGGCTACGTACACCTGATCTTTAACTGATCTGTATTGCTGTGTCCAATCACTGCGTATCTCACCATTTTGTCGAAATATTTCGGTATAAAGTATGCATTCCTCTGGCAATAATTGCGTGACTCAATATATTCTACTTAAAACAATCACATTTTTCTATAAACGTCTTATACGCATATCTCGTGCCATTTCGCATCGATTATTTAGCGGTGTAATGTTTTGCCCGCGTAATAAAGTGTTTCTTTGACCCGTTGCAATGTGCAGCTTTCATTTTAGCCAATAAGACACGCGTATGTGACGAAAAGCGCGTTACGACGGTCGATCCACGCGCGTTGCCTTCGCTTCGCCGCGCGCCCCCATGGTCTTCGTTTGCGACGTCACGACAAGAACGCTACGGCCTTATTTCTAGGAGGTGTTTGATAAGCGCGGGCAAGGCAGCGAAATCTGGCGCATCCGCGTTACGGTGATCACGTGGACGCCATTGAGCCAACACCGGGAGGAGAAACTCATGACGTCATCGTTCAATTTCTCCCTGAGAACTAAAAACAAACAAAACGTGAGTAGGGCGTAGACATGCCTCTGACGTAGTGGCTCAACGTTGGCCGCTCGAACTCCGTCGCATTTACTGCGCTGACGATTGCGCCTCGCGTTGCACGCTAGAGCTGGCAGATTTCAGCGACTTCGCTGATTTAGTAGTATGCTGGCCAATTTAATAAATATATGAACGGAATTAGATCGTAATATTTGACACGGGGTCTTCCTAATGATACTGAAGAGGGATGCGTATTTTTCTAAATATCAAAAATAAAGCGGAGTTGCCCTTTAAGAGGAGTTTGCGGTGGTACACCCACGATTTGGGACTCATGAAAATCGGAAACAAAAAATTGCGGACATATGCTCTGACAGTAGAAGTCAAGAGGCAGTCTGCTATATTTGGCGAATTTCGTCCAGTTCGATGTAAGCACAATTGGCAGACAACATCCAAGCCAAGCCAGCGCTCAAGTTCTTTTCAAGCCAGATGAATGGGTGTGTGGTGTTCAAGCCTTTGGTTGTTTACGTGCAAGCGACCACAAAAATAGCATCGGTTACTCACGCACTTCTGTTCAAAATGGTGAGACCACATTGGCTCTACTATGATATATTCCATCTCATCCGGGAATGTACTAAAGCGAAGGCTATATACGGGCAGAGTGTACGGGCGAACAGCTTTGGTACATACGCAAACTGCACGAGGGTTTGTTCAGTGCGAGCCTCTAGCCATGCTTTGAGCTCGTGCTCTATGGCTTTAGTACATGTCAGGCGTGTGTGTGTGTTTGTTGGGGGGGGGGGGGGGGGGGAGGAGGGGCAATCATCGGGGGTTATATGCCACACGAGGGTGCTAAGTCCGTTCACGGAGGGCTCTTGTGCTGTTTTTATTGGAGGAGAAGGGACGTGTGAAAAATTGACAAACGGAATATGGTTGGCGACAGCGCAAATCCTACCGTATTTCTCACTGATATTTATGATAATTGCTGTGCGCACTTCCCTGCTCCGCGATTGCGGCTACCGGACGGCCATCTTGGGAAGCGGAAGATCAACCTTTTGGAGCGTTGCTGGGCGGCAACGTGCTGAATGCACGTTTTCTGCTCGTGTGTCGTCATTGGGATGATGAAGTCCACGCTTTGTTATGCCTACTCCGAAGCTCCG